ATAACAATTTCCGGATTGAAGTCTTTGGGATTATTAGTGACCCTTAAATAAACGTAGATAAAAGACACTTCTATATTAATGTTTTCCCCGCTTCATAGGGGCTCTGCTAACTGCACGTAAAAAAAGTAGATAAAAAACTTTATAACTCAATAAGATGTATATAAATATATAATATGAAATTTCAAATCGAATTCCTATTACCCAAGACTTTATTATTACAACAAGTGGTGACATTTTGCGATGGCATCTTTGCTTCCAGGGAGACTTACTTGAAAGAGCAACAAACCTTGTCAAATGCCAAACTAACGGTTTAGAAGCAAGTTTGCGACATTACTTTGTATAAAACACGACCTACTGAACTTACTAAAAATACGAGGAAAAGACTGGAAAAGATTTGTGCACTGAGGGTTGGGTAAAAAATACATTAAAAAAGGTCATTTTTCTATATTTATTTGAATAACTTGAAAATTTTGTATCGGGCACTCTTTTTTTAGTTAGCTTAGTAGAAACTAGATACAATTTACTAACATTCTGTATAAACTGTTTTATACACTTTGATACTGAAATTTTGTATAGTTCGAACTCGCGCTAATGTATTTTGCTTAATACGATATATGGTTTTGGGACATTTTCCTACATTTTGTTAAATAACTTAAAAACTTTGTATGGGGCACTGTTTTTTAATTAACTTAGCAGAAAGTACATAAAATTTAGTTCAAATTCGTCAAAACAATTGTATACACTCCAGTACAATTTTTTAAAAAAAATATAACAAGTTTAAACTAACTTTTATATAAAAGGCAAAATAGTCAAATATGGATTCGGAACATTCTATTACATTTTGTTAAGTAACTCAAAAATTGTATATGGGGCACTCTTTCTTAGTTCTGTATAAACTTCTTAGTTCTGTATAAACTGTTTTATATACTTTCATACAAAAATTTGAATAGTTTGAGCTCGCCCTAATGTATCTTGCTTAATTCGATGTATGAATTCAGAACACTTTTTTACAATTTTTCAAATACCTCGAAATTTTTGAACCTGGCTCTTTTTATTAGTCAGTTTAGAAGAAACTAGACTAAATTTACTATAAATCCGTAAATACAATTTTATAACTACAATACAAAAATTTTGCAAAAAAAATTGTAAGGTATTTATTTTGCATATAATACAATATATGTATTCGCAGCTCTTTTTTACATTTTATTAAAAAAAAACTCAAAAAATTTGTTCAGGACACTCTTTTTTAATTAGCTTAGCAGAAACTAGATAAAATTTAGTATTTTACACTATAAACAGTAGAATATAGTCTTATATGAAAATTTTGAATAAATCCACTGTGAACTCGCCTTTGTATATTTTCCTAAAAAGTTTTTTGTGAGTTTTTTATAGAAGGTTTTGGGTCACTTTTCTACATTTTTCTGAATAACTCAAAAACTTTCTCCAAAACATTTTTTTAAGTTAGTTTAGCAAAAACTGGATAACATGAAAATAAATTTTAAAAAATCATTTTTCATTCATTCTCATATAAGACTATAATTTTCATTCCCATATAAGCAGTTTGTTACAATTTCATATAATTTTTTTGAAGAAATCCCCCTATATATATTCTCCTAATATAAGTTTGCCATACAAGAATTCGGGACAATTTGTTACATTTTTCTAAATAACTGAAGAACTTATTCCAAGCCACTCCTTTTTAATTAGCTTAGCAAAGAGCTTAGCACATTCACTTCATTTTCCTTTAAACAGTTTAGATTAATTTTATATAAAATTTTTGAATAAATCCCATGTAAACTCGCCCTTATATATTATCCTAAGTTTGCCATACGATATTAAGGAACATTTTCTGACAATTTTCGAAATAACTCAAAAACTAGATAAAATTTACTACATTTTAATATAAACAGTTTAATACAGTCTTAAACAAAAATTTTGTAGAAATTCACTAAAACTCGCCCTTACATATTGTTCTAATAAAACTTTGAAATACAAAGTTTCCAGACGTTTTACTACTTTTTTCAAAATAATTTAACAACTTTTTCCAGGACACTCATTTTAGATTAACTTAGCCAAAACTAGATGAAATTTCTTACATTTTTCTATAAACAGTTTAATATAATCTTATATGAAATTTTTGAAAAAATCCCAAGTAAACACGCCCTTACATACACATTGATCTAAGTCTGCCATACAAGGATTCGGGACATTTTTTTAATTTTTCTGAATAAAACTTTGTATCAGGACACTCTTTTTTATTTAGCTTAGCAGAAACTAGCTAAAATTTACTACATTTCCCTATAAACAGTTTTATTTAGTCTTATATGAAATTTTTGAATAAATACCATGTAAACTCGCCCTTATATATTGTCCTAAAATAAGTTCGCCATACAAGATTAAGGGACATTTTCTGTCAATTTTCGGAATAACTTAAAAAATTTATATGAGGCACTCCCACTTATTTAGCTTAGTGGAAACTAGCTAAAATTTGCTACATTTCCCTATAAACAGTTTTATATAGTCTTATATAAAAATTATGTATAAATGCAATGAAAATTCGTCCTTATATAGCGTCCAAAGTGTGACATACACAATTACGGGACATTTTCTGACAATTTTCAAAATAACTCAAAAACTTTATCCAGGACACTATTTTTAGGTTACATTATTATTTAGGTATATATTTACACTATATTGAATTGTTCATATGAAAATATATTAAATTTTATCTAGTTTTTGCTATGCTAACCTAAAAAGCTAAATAAATAAAGAAATTGTTTTTCAAAAAACTTTTCTTGTTTTTTATTACTTTTGGATTTTCGTTCGAAACTCTACAATATATATAAATATATATAATATATATATTTATATTTATACAAATGACATAATTAAATGTAAATATAAAACAACTATGACATAACACAAACTGTTAGGAAAAAAAGTGAAGTTAAGCAACATCAACTTTAAAATTAACATAAATTATTCACCGACAGTTTTGTTTTATCTGTTTTATATCATTCAAAACACTTTTCGGCATTTATAAAAGAAACAGAATAAGTAACAGGTTAAACGCCACGATAATAACAGAACATTTTCCCCACTAATTGATAAATAATTTATTTAAAAAAAAAAAAAATTTGTTTACTTTTCATATACACACGTATATGACCGTATATTAATTTTTTTTATTAACTTTTTATCGTCAGACACATATGACTGACACAACTATTATTAATGTGTTTATAACAGATGAATAATAATATGAAATTATATATTAAGGAAATCTATTTCTTCAAGTACTTGTACTTGATATAATTTATATATTGTAGATTGGAATAAAACGATTTAAATGGAAATAGATTGGAATGCGAGTGCATTAACTCGACTATAAATTATATATATATATATATATATATATATATATATATATATATATCTGTTATAAATAGATGGCAATTATAATAAATGCAGCTGCTGCCCAAGAGAAGAGTTCAATACACTAATTGCGAACAAATGATGATCATGATTGTAAATTTTTTTACATTTCTTCAAATACCTCAAAAACTTTGTTTGGGACTTTCTGTTTTAGTTAGCTTAGCAAAAAGTAGATAAAATTTACTAAAATTCTGTATAAATTGTCTTATACACTTTGAAACAATTTTTTTGTTTAGTTTGAACTCGCCCTAATGTAATGTGCGTATTTACAATATATGGATGCAGGATAGGTTTTTAAATTTTTGTAAATATCTCAAAAATTTTATTCCAGAGACTCTTTTTTAGTTAGCTTAGCAAAAAGTAGATAACATTTACTAAAATTGTTATAAATTGTCTTATATACTCTCATACAAAAATTTTGTATATTTTGAACTCGCCCTAATATATATTTGCGTATTTACAATATACGGATTCGGGACACTTTTTTACATTTTTTCAAATATCTCAAAAATTGGTCTGGGTACTCTTATTTAGTTAAATCAACAGAAACTAGATTAAATTTACTAAAATTCTGTGTAAACTTTTTTATACACCTCGATACAAATGTTTTGTATAATTTGAATTTGCCATAATACGTTCTGCATATTTACAATAAACTAACGTATACACTTTGATACAATTTTTTTGAATATCTTTTAAACCATTCGATTAGTATGAATGATGTATTATGGAAATATGTTCACAATTTAATAATAAACAATGTTGTCTAACATCAAAAACTTCTACAGCAACTCGATATACTTTAAAATCGCATCTGAAATAACTATCGAGTTGACATCTATAGTGCCACGACGTTATACAGTATCAAGTGGTTCGTGGATTTATTTATTGTATCTCGTGTAACTTTTAAAGCATTCGATTAATATGAATGATGTATTTGAGAAATATATTAACAATTTAATAATAAACAATTTTGTCTAACATCAGAAACTCCTACAGCAACTCAGTATACTCTTAAAACCACTTGGAAATCCAATAACGCGTCATCATCTCTCAAAAGTACACACGCTCCTTGTATCTCTAATAACTCCCAAACCATTCGATTAGTATGAATGATGTATTTGGGAAAATTGTACAAAATTAAATTATCTAAAATATTGTCTAACATCAAAAGTCTCTACAGCAACTCGGTATTCTCCAAAAACCTATTGGAAACCCTATTGGATAGCGCATCATAATTCCGCAAAAGTACACACGTCCCTTATATCTTACGTAACTCCCAAACCATTCGATTAGTATGAATGATGTGTTACAAATTTGTACAAAATTAAATTATCTAAAATACTGTCTAACATCAAAATACTCTACAGCAACTCGGTATACTCTAAAAACGACATGGAAACCCGATAACGCACCATCATTTCCCAAAAGTACACACGTCGCCTTATATCTCTGATAACTCCCAAACCATTCGATTAATATGAATGGCGTCTTCGACAAATTTGTGCCTAACATCATCAATATCAACATCCCCAAATTTTGTTTCTTAACAATTATCCACTTACCCTAGGCTGGCTTCTTTCCTAGCAGCATTCGCCTGTCTCCGTCTGGCGACAGCGTCGTTCCTGCCAACCCTCCTCACTTCTTCACCATCGCCATCTACTGATTGCGGATGCTCCTTCGGTTGTGGTAAGATCGGTGCACCTTTTTTTAATAGGATTTCCAATTTGCTCCGGACGTCGTTGCCGTCATCGTCCGGAATCCGGAAACTTTTAATAGTTCTCTCGGTCCGGGTCATCTTTCTGCGTTTGTTATTGTCATTTTCAAGAGTTTTTTTGGACGACAGTTCCAGGTTTTTGGAGTTCTCGCGTAAGGTTCTTTTGGAGTCGTCGTCGTCTGTGGAGTTGGCGTCTTGGTTTTTAATCCTGGAAAAAAATTGAAGGTTTGGTATGCGGTTTTGATGTCTAGTAATGGGCCAAAAAGCAAAATAATTTTTGCATTTCTCGACGTTTTGAAGGTTTCTGAACATTTTTAAGGCATACCTCAGAAGAAATGTATGTGTGAAATTTGAATTTGAAATTTCAATAATAAATATTCGAAAACGAAGTATTGTAAAAGTGTTCTAAATGTTAAACTAATAATACATATCCCGCTAAACAAGATACTTGTTCAAGCCCTTGTAAATATATTAGGATGTCAAATATCTTCCTTCCGCTTTTTTGCTCTTGGTTTATAATACAAAAAGGCGGAAGGGAGATATTTGACAACCTATTAATAATTATATTTATTAGATATTAAATACATTCAAAATGTTGATCTCGAAATGTAATTCGATTATTCGAATATAGATGTAATAATTACTAGCTATACATTTACTTATTAAGAGATTCTATAAATATATAAATATTATGTAATATCAGATAAAAAAAGCATTATAAATAAATGTATGTGTATGTGTATATAAAATTATATACACAATAAATGAATAAAATACTTGAATGGTTTAAAAAACATTCGATCCCTATTGATAGGGAGATGTGCTGATTAGTTTTTGGCAAAGGCAGGTCCAGCCGTTACGGAGATATGGAGCAAAGAGTGCAGAAAATACAAATCGAGTTTTTGAAAAAACGGAGTATCGGATTTGAATGATCTAAAAACATTCAATTTGTAATGATTGGGAGAAGTGGTTATTAGTTTTTGGCAAAGACAGGTCCAGCTGTTTTGGAGATACAGAGCTAAATGTGCAAAAAATGGCAGTTTTTGAATGAACTAAGCGTCCGATTTGAATGATCTAACTAGTGAGGCGCATGGCATCGTGCCCTAAGGCAAATTGCTGGAACTTCCCGTACCAAAAATGATTTTTTTTTAAAGAAGATTAACATTTTTGAAAAAAAAATTACTCTGAAAAAATTAGATTTTTGAGAAACTATAAATTTTTGACAAGAAAAAACTTAAAAAAAAAATGTTTCGCTTATTTTGACATATTTTGGAAACTCTGAACATTTTTTCAAAGCAATCGTACTGCTTTAACTGCATAGAGACGAAATATCGAAGCGCGTAAGCGCCGCGTCGCCGTCTAACGAATAAACATTGGTACGGAACCCATAGGAATGTAAACGAAATTTATACTTATTGTTAAAATCTCTATAAAATATCTGATAATTTGATGTGCATATGTCTAATGATCATTTTTGACCACCAAATGGCATTTTTTTTACTTTTTTTACTAGATTTCCGAAACCGCTAGACCTGCCTTCAGAAAAATTTGATCAGTTCTTCATCTTGTTAATACAAGTAAAATGTTTTTTGAATTAATCAAATCGGACGCTCCGTTCTATTAAAAACTGAGTTACTGTTTTTGGCACTTTTTGCCCCACACCTTCGGAACGGCTGGACCTGCCTTCGCCAAAAACTAATCAGCACGTCTCCTTATCAATACGAATCGAATGTTTTTTGAATTATTCAAATCGCTTCATCCGTGTTCCCGAAATCGTCGACAAAAATTTGTATCCGCACACACACACATACATCCATTTTTTTTAAGGTATGCCAAAATGTTCAGAAGGTTTTGAAACGTTAAGATATATAAAAAATTTCATTTTCGATTTTTTTGCGATTATTATAACTTGCCCTACGAGAATTAAAAAATTATTACATCTTTTTTATTTTCCATAAAATATTTTTGTAATTTTGGACTAAAAATTCGAAAAATTACCCAGGCTAAGCATAGTCTAAGCGCCACTCTGGTACAAATGTTCACCCAAGTGCGTTTAGACTGTTTATGCACTGGAGCACTTTTCCAATTTTGTGACAGGAAAACTATTGAAAAATGTGAAAATGCCGCCAAGCTAGGCACAGTATAAGTGAAAATGTCGCACATAATTATTAGCAAATGCGTTTAGACTGTGGCTATGCGGGAGCACTTTTGCAATTTTATGCAAATTAAAGGATACTATTCTGGAGATAAATTTGGTTTCAAATGATCTACATTTGATTTGCTCAGATATAATAAACAAGATAACAAAAATAATGAAAGTTACAGTATTTGTTGTAATAATATATTTGAAGACGTTTAAAATTTCTCGAATAATTCATTACGGTACGGAAAGTTCCAGCAATTTGCCTTAGGGCACGATGCGATACACCACTAGTTTCTTTTTCAGTTTGCGTGTTGCTTTTTAAAATTAAATAAAAGAAGAACTTTACTGACGAGCAAAATTAAACTTAAAAACTTAAAAACGAACAAACTAAATTTTGATACAAAATATGAAAAGGGACTTTACTAACAAGCAAACTGAGACGGAAATAAGACTCTGCTAACAAGCAAACTGAAAAAATAAATAATAAGGGACTCTACTGACAAGCAAATTGAGAATAAAAATAAAAAAGAAACTGTACTGACGAGCAAACTAAAAATAAGAAATAAAATATAAAACAAACTCTACTAACAAGCAACATTAAGAAAAACTAATAAAAGGACTCTACTGACAATAATATTTTGGCAAAGTTTAGTATTATGTAGTATATTTAGTATTAGTTTAGTCCATTTGGATACAAAATTTGACGTCTGGACAACGTCTGAACCGATTTGGATGATACAAAAACCGTGTTGATTTGTATTGATCCAAACTTAGGAATTTTGTTAACATAACAGACGAATGTTATGGCAAGGTTATTTCCATACAAGTTCGTTCTAAATATTAGTAAAACCATGTGGTTGCAATAAGGCGTGTTTCTCAGGTTGCCGGATAGAAAACGTAACCTAGAAACCGCATAAAGTTAAATAACAGGGTCTTTCTGACCCAGCTTCATAACATACGGGTGACGTTGCTGTTTATGTGTAAAAAACCTGAATAAACAACAAATATATGACATTTTGAGAGTATTTAATGTGATTCAGTAGCATAACGTATGCAAGTTGGACCGTAACATAGCCTTGCTATAACATTTTTCTGTTATGCGGCAGATTAGTGCAATGGATTTAAATATAAAGTTTAACTTTTTTCAGAAATGAATACCTGAATAAATTTTAATTTACAAAATAGAAATTCACCTTTAATAGATCAATTAATATTTTCTCATAATCATTCAATATTAATTATTTTATTAATTACAATTTTAGTAGGATATATTATAAGATCTTTATTTTATAAAAAATTATATAATCGTTATTTACTTGAAAGACAAAACATTGAAATTATTTGAACAATTTTTCCTGCATTTTACCAAAATGTCCAGAAAGGGTTGAAACGTAAAGATATATAAAAAATTTTCATTTTCGATTATTTTTTTGTGATTACTATAACTTGCCCTACGGGAAGTGAAAAAACTTTCTGCTTGTATTGGCAAAACAATTGCTTTTGAGGATAAAAAATCATTACATCTTTCTTTATTTTCAATAAAATATTTTTGTAATTTTGGATTAAAAATTGAAAAAATTACCCAGGCTAAGCACAGTCTAAGCGACACTCTGGTACAAATGTTTACCCAAGTGCGTTTAGACTGCTCATGTACTGGAGCACTTATTCAATTTTGTGAAAACTATTGAAAAATGTGAAAATGCCGCCAAGCTAAGCACAGTATAAGTGAAAATGTCGCACGGAATTATTTGCAAATGCGTTTAGACTGTGACTATACGGGAGCACTTTTTCAATTTTGTGTAAATTATTAGGCAACTATTTTTTTTTTTGAAATTGAATTCGAAATGAAATAACGATTGCTAATGTAATAATTGATTTATGATTTACTTTTGATTCGCTCAGATATAACAAGATAGCAAAAATAATGAAAGTTACAGTATTTGTATTTATTTGATTAAAATTTCTCGAATATTTCATTCCAGCAATTTGCCTCAAGACACGATGCCATACACCACTAGTTACCTTCTGCCATCGTCTGAAGACAAATCCGAGGCGACCCCTTCGTCAATTGGCGAATCCGAACAAGAAGCAGCAGTCTGTTTATCACAATTGGGCGTACTGGCAACTTTACTTGTCCTAGAAATCTTTGGACAACTTCCCAGCAGCATATTGCTGCAATCGTCCTGAATTCCGCTGTCTTCCTTCAATTTCTGCTGCTGCTGCTGGTGCTGATGACGACTTGTAGTCGCTGATTTTATGTTCCTTGTCGATCCTGGTTTGATATCAATCGAGTTGGTGCTGCTTTGATCTAGAAAATTGAAGAAAACTTAAAAAAACTGTGTGTAAGTGTGAGTGTTTGTATGTGTGGATACAATCTTGCGTCGACGATTGTGGGAGCACGGATTGACCAATTTGAATGATTCCAAAGACATTCGATTCGTATTGATGGGGAGACGTGTTGGTTAGTTTTTGGCAAAGGTAGGTCTGGACGGAATTTAGGAAAACTTAAAAAAACTGATGTGCGTGTGTGAGTGTATGTATGGGTATGTATGTGCGGATACAATCTTGCGTCGACGATTGTGAGAGCACGGATTGACCGATTTGAATGATTCTAAAGACATTCGATTCGTATTGATGGGGAGACGTGCTGCTTAGTTTTTGGCAAAGGTAGGTCTGAACGTTTAGGCGGTACGGAACAAAACGTGTTGAAAAATGTCGTTCCTCAATGTGTTTACTAAATACTAAAATTACTAAACTATACAGTTTTGTAATAAAAAGTATGAAATATTTGCTACTATCTGAACAAAAAACGTGGAAAGCTTTTGATCGAAAACAGAACAATTTGATTAAAGGAGCTCCTCAGGACGCACTGTTTGTACTACAACTTTGTAATTTCAGTATAATGTTTCTCAAAGTGCTTACTAAATATAAAAAATACTAAACTATATAGTTTAGTAATAAAAAGTATGAAATATTTGCGTCTATTTGGTCAAAGTATATAGAAAACTCTTGAAAACAGAATACACACTCTAATTAAACGAGCTCCTCAGGACGCACCGTTTGTACTACAACTTTGTAATTTTGATATATTGTTGATCAATATGTTTACTAAATATAAAAAGTACTAAACTATATAGTTTCTTAACAAAAAGTATGAAATATTTGCGTCTATTTGATCAAAGTTCGTAGGAAACTCTTGAAAACAGTATATAGACACTTATTTGACAAGCTCTTCAGGACGTACCGTTTGTACTACAGCTTTGTAACTCCAGTATGTCATTTCTCAAAATGTCTACTAAATACTAGAAATACTAAACTATATAGTTTCTTAACAAAAAGTAAGAAATATTCGCGTCTATCTGCACAAAGTTCATAGAAAGCTTTAAGTCTTATTAAACGAGCTCCTCAGGACGCACCGTTTGTACTACACCTTTATAATTTCAGTATATTGTTCCTCAAAGTGTTTACTAAATATAAAAAATACTAAACTATATAGTTTTTTAGCAAAAAGTATGAAATATTTGCGAATATCTGAACAAAGAACGTAAAAACAGTACACAGAATATTATTAAAAAGAAAACCCAAAACAAATCGTATGTGTGCGTGTGTGTGTTTTTATGTGTATGTATGTGCGGATACAATCTTTCGTCGACGATTACGGGAAAACGCGTGAACCGATTTTAATGATTCAAAAAACATTCGACTCGTATTGACCGTGAGATGTGTTGATTAGTTTTTGGGAAAGGCAGGTCCAGACGATTCGGAGATACAGAGCAAAAAGTGTGGGAACTGGCAATTCGATTTTTGAGAGAACGGAGCGTCCGATTTGAATGATTCAAAAAACATTCGACTTGTATTGACGGAATGAAGAATTGATCGCATTTTTGGAAAGGCCAATACCTGCGGTTTCGGATATGCTGAGGAAGAAGTTGAAAAAAATTCCATTCAGTGGTGAAAAATTATCAATAAAAATCATGACTATTGATACAAATAAAATGATTGGTATACAAATGAATAATGAAATACAAATGAAGAATGAAATACAAATAAAATTATTGGTAGGCAGGTAAAATGTTGATCATGTATAAATCAAATTATCATTATTATAAGTTTTCGGGAGGCACCGTTTGTACTACAAGTGTGTTACTTTAACAATAGAATATATATTTAGTAACTTCTACCTCCAAAAATGTCGACATTTCTCGTATTGTGCGTGGGCACCCGTTTGTGACCTAAAATTCAAACTCGTCGATTGTGAATGTATGTAATTGTAATTGTAATGATTTCATTCGCAATAATGAATGAATAGATTTAATAACACATTACATGCACATTACAAGAACACTTTCATTTATTTTCTCAAATCCGTGTGGTGTAATTTATAATATTAATTTGCGTCATTTGTACTTGTAAGTTTTCACACCGATGGGTTTATTAACATTATGTAACAGATATATAAAAATTACAAAGTTGTAGTACAAACGGTGCGTCCTTAGGAGCTCGGGTAATAAGACTGAAAGCTTTTTATGTACTTTGTGCAGATAGTCGCAAAAATTTCTTACTTTTTGTTACTAAACTATATAGTTTAGAATTTTTAGTATTTAGGAAACATTTTGAGAACCAACATACTAAAATTACAAAGTTTTAGTACAAACGGTGCGTCCTGAGGAGCTCCTTTAATAAAACTGATAATGAAAGCTTTCTAGGTACTTTGCGCAGATAGTCGCAAATATTTTATATTTTTCATTTAAAAACTATATAGTTTAGTATTTTTAGTATTTAGTAAACATTTTGAGAGACAACATATTTAAATTACAAGGCTGTTGTACAAACGGTGCGTCCTGAGGAGCTCGTTTAATAAGACTGATCTAAGAATTCTTAAAAAAATTAGTTACCATTTATGTATTATAAAGCAATTTGCAATCAGACGTACAAATTTTGATAAAATCATTTTTAATTCAAAATTTTGTTTGAAAAGTCATCGATATTAGTATTTGCTTTTAAAATGGACATTTTGAAAAATAATATTGCCAAATTACAAGACTGTACTATAAATAGTATAGTAGTAATCAAATAAATACTAAACAAATTGCCTTAATGCACTTGAGTAAATTTTGTGGTTTGTTTAAAAAAATGTTAATAACTCGAATTGGATTAAAAAAATCATCAATTTTAGTATTTGTCGTTAAAATAGACGTTTTGAAACATAATATTATAAAGTTATTACACTATTTTATACAAAAAACCTAAAAATCCCACGCGCGAAAACAGCTTTACATCCTAAAGCCGCCATCACATGTGCTCGTCCCCATACAAAAGCCTTTACATTTGGCATAAACAAAAACGCAAGTGTGGGAGGGCATTAGCTTAAAGCGCGTTTCACATTGTGCAACTTATACAAAAATTATATAAATAAATAATTATAAATAAGTTAAAACGTTTTTTGATAAACTTGCGTGTTTTAAACATTTTTATAAATATTTTTTTCAGAAATATTTCTCCAAAAATGCGATTTTTGTATAAGATTTCCAAAAATCTTTGATTGGTAGTTTTTGACATTTTTTTTATCCTTTTTTTATTTTTTACTTGTCAAAGTCTTCCTCCTAAATTGGTCCCTGATTTTCCTCAATTTCGGAGGCGTAGCCTGGCTGTCAGCCGTTGATTTTCTGCTGGTGGTGCTGGAGGTGCTGTTAGTGCTGTGCAATTCCATACGCAGAGTAAAAAGGCGGACGCGCTCCTTGATCGACAACCAGGGCCTCGTGTCCTCATCACGGGCTATTTACATACATACATCTACACATGTTCATACATACACACATTCTATAGATACATTAGATAGAAGGAAATACATTTTTGGTGTAAGATCGAGAATAAATGAGATAAATGAAACTAAACTAAACTCTCAACACTATAACAGATATGATGACTTAAGTACTTGTAGTTTTTTCACTTTTTTCAATGTAACTTTTTATCGCAAAGTTTTTTTTGAAATCTGTTTTCAAATTTGGAAACTAGATGAAATTATTTAAAACCTTCACTAACATCATTTTCACAAAAAGTACAAAAACAGCTGCAAGCTCAAAAACAAACATCAAGATAATTTTGAAACCCTTCCCCATATGTATATTCTATGACATTGCACTTTTTTCACTAATTTTAACGTAACTTTTTTTTGCAAAGTTTGTTTCAAAATCTGTTTACGAATTTAGAAACTAGATAAAATTATCTAAACATCTCACTAACATCATTTTTATATAAAATTAACACAAAATTAACTATAAGCCCAAGAATAAGCGAGTCAATACCAAACACTACCTTAACATTTGTATCCCTTATAATGGTGTACTTTTGTTACTCTTTTGGGTGTAACTTCTTTTTGCAAAGTTTGTTTGGAAATCTGTTGGAAACTAGATAAATTTTACAAAAACTTTTCCTCACATACATTTTCTACAAAACTAACACAAAAAGAACTACAAACCTCACATTATACAAAATGAAAATGTAAACACACTTCTAAAGCGTTTACTTATAATATCCTTCATAACTTTTGAAGCGTGAAATTAAGCAAAACGCACCGGTAAAGTATATCCATCATAAGTTCTAAATTATTCCTTTTTTATGAATGGTGTTTGAGGAAAATTTGTACATAAATAAATTATTTCAAATATTATCTAACATTATAACATCCTACAGCAACTCGGTATACTTTAAAATCGTCAAAAAACACAGAATTGATCTAAATTAAGCAAAAAGACATGGACAAGGTATATCTAACATAAATCCTAAATTATTTGTTTGTTATGAATAGTGTTTATGGAAAATTTGTACAAAATTAAATTATCTATATTATTTACAAACATTGTGATAACCGACAACAACTCGGTATACTTTAAAATCCTTCAACAAAACGTCTGAACGCTCCAAAAATGAATCTATAATCCCCTTAAATTAAATTAGTACAAAATTAAATTTATTGTGTGAAATTCAAGTCCATACAGCAACTCGCTATACTCCAAAAAAATAAAGAATGGTTGTAATATTTACCTCAAAAATAATTCTACTTATAAAACTTCTCGCAATCGCTAAAAAAAATTATTTAAAAAAAACTGACAGTAAAAATACAAAATTACAAAATTGACACATCAATTGTTTCTTTGTCGTAATTTAGTAAATTATTTACAAATTTGAGTTAATTATTTTATAGTAGATATTGTATACTATGTATATTGTATAAAATACTCATATAATTCTATAAATATGTATATTTTCGCGGAAACAATAAATTTGGACGTCGTCCAATGCCAAAAAACTTTATCATTTGCGAATTCTATAAATAAAATCGCACACTTGTTTATATTAAATCTAAATCTTGCACATGTTCTGTTTATTTTCAAACAGAAACAGAAAGGAAAAATAAAAAATGAATTTGGAAAAAAAACTTAGCAACTCCTCTTCATATATCAAAAATTTTAGTCACTATAAATGTAAGTAAATTTTAATAATAAATAATAAAAATTGGTATAAATTTTGATTATCGAATAAGGGTACAAAAATAATATACATACAGAAAGATATGTAGATGTTCTTGTGTTCTTTACAATTTTAATCAAAATTTTGTATTGGAGTTTATAAAACTAATTATGAGGATTTTTAGTAAATTTTATCTAGTTTCTTCTAAACTAAATCAAAGAGAGTGCCCGGAAAAAACTTTTTATGTAATTTACAAAAATGTATTGAAACGTTCTCTTCATATATTGAACAATTTAGCCACTATATATAATTGCGATTTCAAATGCGTTAAGCTCAAAATTTTGTTAAAGATCATAAAAAACTATTTTTGCAAAAATTTAGTAAATTTTATCTAGGTTCTCCAAAACTTACTCAAAAAGAGTACCCGAAATAAACTTTTCAAGTTATTCAAAAAATGTAAAAAAAAAAATCTAGTCTAACTCTTTATATATTGAAAATTGAGTTATTATATAATTGCGCTTTCAACCGTGTTTTATTCAAAATTTTGTTCAAGAGCATAAAAAACTATTTTTGCAAAAATTTAGTAAATTTCATATAGTTTATCCTAAACCAAATCAAAAAGAGTGCCTGGAACAAACTTTTTGTGTTATTTGAAAAAATGTGAAAAATGTCACGCACAATCCAGTCACAATCGAACCATTTTTGCACAAAGAGAAATACAAGCCTAAACCTAAAGACAATTTTTGATATACTATTTTTAATGTAACTCTTGTTTGCAAATTTTGTTTCAAAATCCGTTTTCAAATTTGGAAACTAGATAAAATTATCTAAAACTCTCACTAATATCACTTTTACATATAATTATTACAAAAAAACTACAAACCTAAATGCAATCATCAATACCTAAATACAACCTGCAATCACCGATTGCTTTTTCGCTCTCACATTAATTGTAATTTTAAAGTATACCGAGTTGCTGTAGGGTTTTGTAGTGTTAGAAAATTTTATACATACTTAAATTTTGCACAAATTTGCCGAATACAACATCAACATCGGACGAACGCTTCAAAAGTTACAACAGATCAAACACACCCCAAACAATTTGTCAACTCTATAAAATCTCACGAAAATTATATATTTTCAATTACAATTTTAAAGTATACAGAGTTGCTGTAAGGCTTTATGATATAAGAAAACTTTGTACACAATTTCATTACGTAAAAATTTCCAAATTTCAAATACATCCCTTACTTTAAACCAACCGTTTAAAAACTACAATAAATATACCAAAAAAATACACAATATCGTTTTACCTGAATCATCGGACATGGTAACATCATAACTAGTGTCATCAAATCCGGACAACATAATTTAAAAAATAATAATACACAACACACTAAGACATTTGTAAAAAATAAATATAAATAAATAAATAAATATAATCCTAAAAATTTACAAAACTAACACATTATTAGTTAATAAAGAATTTAAGTTAATTTAATAATAAATGATGTTTGGGAAGCGAAATTTTGTTTTCTGTTGTATTTTGGACAAACTGTCAAAAATGTAATTGATATAAAATTATATATACATGTATAAATAATTATAAATACATGTATAAATTTTTATATATACATATTTGATACAAATATGTAAAGTTCTATAAATATTTTAATTTTTAAATTTAAGTTGCACAATGTGACGCAGACTTTAAGCTAAAGCCCTTCCACACTTTACGTTTTGTATTGGACGCTCAACAATTTGTGTGAGACTTTGTATGGGGCTGAAGAAGTGTGGTGGCGTCTTTAGAATGTAAAGCTTGCTTTTCGCGTGGGATTTTTAGGTTTTTTTGTACAAAATTGAGTAAACTTATAATATAAACTTATATAATTGAGTAAGTTTTATAAAAAGTATGATATTGATTTATTGTCGTTTAAATAATTATATGACATCATATACTTAGACAGGAACATAATTTTAGATAAATTTTTGAATATTTTGACTAAAAATTTGGTAAAATATTTATAAATTAATAAATTCAATATGTATGAATCAATTTATGCTCGCAAATAACATAAATTTTTTTTTCAAGTTATTGGCACCAAATTTGGCAAAACTAAGACAATATCCATAATATTACCATCAAAACAAATCCAATGCCTTTGCTTTCAAATTGTCCCAATTACTTTCATTAAAAATTTGTTTTTTTTTTAAGATTTGATTTAAATATAATTTGTTACTCACATTGACTCGTCGACTCGTCATTATCATCAGATTCTGGGTCAGTTTTGTTGACATTTTCCTGGGATTTTCCAGCATCCATATCCGACCAATTTTTCACCTTTCCTTGGACTTCTTTATAAGCATTCAGCCTAAAAAATAAAACAACATTAATGAACAATTTATTAATAGACATGTAAAGCCTCGGTTCAAATATATTTTAAATTTTAGGTATTAGCTCTTAAAAAACCAATCAGGAACAAAATCTGAAGTCCCACTCCAAAGATCGAATTTTAATAATATTTAAATTTCGAAAATTCGATACTAGAAAATAAGTCTTTCATCGTTTTTACCTACAAAATACTATATATCTGATTACTCTTTTGAAATCCAAAGTCTTTTTTATATTTTAATCTGAAACTTTTATTAACAAAATTCAAAGATGTAAAAAACTCAAAAGATTATGATAAAATTTCACATCCACAAAACCTAAAATTTATTTAATTAAAATCCAAACGATATAAACTTAATTTTAATCATAAAATCCAAAGTCTCACAATTTTGCATCATACAGAATCGATAAAAACTAGCTGTAAGTGGAATTCTGTCTTAAGGCATTAAGGCATCGTGCCTTAAGGCAAATTGCTGGAACTTCCTGTACCAAAAATTATTATTTTTTTAAAAACAATTAACATTTTTGAAAAAAAAATTACTTCGAAAAAATTAGATTTCAGAGAAAATATTATAATAATATAAATTTGGAACGGCTAGACCTGCCTTCGCCAAAAATCAGCACGTCTCCTTATCACGTCTCCTTATCAATACGAATCGAATGTTTTTTGAATTATTCAAATCGGTGGATCCGTGTTCCCGAAATCGTCGACGAAAATTTGTATCCGCACATACATACACACACACACACATACATCCATTTTTTCTAAGGTATGCCAAAATGTTCAGAAACTCCTGAAACGTAAAGATATATAAAATTTTTCATTTTCGATTTTTTGCGATTACTATAACTTGCCCTACGGGAAATTAAAAAGAAATTTTAACAGAATCCATTATTCAAATACATTATTAAATTCATGAAATTTTTCACTATTTATATTTAAAAATTAAAGAACTTATAAACAATTTGTTTAAAAAGTTTAGTAAACAAAATCCAAAGTTTAACAAATTATAATATGAATAATAAGTTGAATGAGATTGTAACCTTAACAAAATCCTAGGCATCTATTCTGAAACTTTTTACTATTTCTTTTACCAGAAATCCAAAATCTCAGTAAAGTTTAATTAACAAAATCCAGAAAATCCATCTTTTGACCTTAAAAATTTAATTACCATTTTGAGCCTCAGAATCCAAAGTATCTTCTTATCAATCAACATAATCTAACTATTATTAGTAACTCTGTTTTTATTATTTACCTTATCCAAAATCGAAAGATGTAGGTCTTGGTATAAAATTTTAAACTCCTAGCCTAGTCTAAAAACATTTTGTTTTAAATAAAAACCAAAATCTTAAAAAGCCACTAAATGATCTTAAATTTTAACATCCAAGTGCCATGAAAACTTTTCACTATTTTCAATAACAAAACCTACACAAGTAAAATTTTGAAACACTCTCTACTGTTTTATTTGTACATAATCCAAAGCCACATATAAAAAAATAATAATAATAAGTTTGATTAACTCTAAATTGCAAAAAAATCCAAAAAAATCTAACTAATTCTAAGTCATAAAATAGATTCTACTTGCACAATAAAAACTTTCCACAATGTTCCCGAACAAAATACAAAGTTCTGTTATAAAAATTAGGGGTTCGGATCACAAAATCTTTTCACAATTTTCCTAAACAAAAGCTTCTGAAGAACAAACTCTTAGTAATATTTCAAGATGTAAAATCCTGCATATTTTTTCCAGAATTTCCACAAACCTACTAACCAAGGCAATTTCCGAGCCCATTCGATTCGATCGAGAACTCGGTCAAGTGGGGAAATCCCCAAAATAGAACTCGCTCATTTTGTCAGACATTAGGGCGACGTTACACGGAACGGTAAAATGAACCAGAAATAAAACTAGCTGTAAGTGGAATTCTGTCTTAAGGCAATTAGGGCATCGTGCCTTAAGGCAAATTGCTGGAACTTCCCGTACCAAAAATTATTATTTTTTTTTTAAAACGATTAACATTTTTGAAAAAAAATTACTTTGAAAAAATAAGATTTTTGAGAAACTATAAATTGGACAAAAAATTAGTTTTATTTTGAAAAAAAAAATTTTTTTTTTAAAAATTTTTTTTTTAAAAAAATTTGTTTTTTTTGAAAAAAAATTTTTTTTTCTTTATTTTGACATATTGTGGAAGATCTGAACTTTTTTTTCAAAGCAATCGTACTGCTTTAACTACATAGGGACAAAATATAAAGCGCGTAAGCGCCGCGTCGCTGTCTAACGCATAAGCATTGGTACGGAACCGATAGGAATGTTAACAAAATGTATACTTATTGTTAAAATCTCTATAAAATGTCTGATAATTTGATGTGCATATGTCTAATGATCATTTTTGACCGCCAAATGGCTCATTTTTTTACTTTTTCCTCTATATCTCCGAAACCGCTGGACCTACCTTCATGAAAGTTGTATCGATTCTTCATCTTGTCAATACAAATAAAATGTTTTTTGAATTATTAAAATCGGACGCTCCGTTCTCTTAAAAACTGAGTTACCGTTTTCGGAACTTTTTGCCCCGTATCTTCGGAACGGCTTGACCTGCCTTTGCCAAAAACTAATCAGCACGTCTCCTTATCAATACGGATCGAATGTTTTTTGAATTATTCAAATCGGTTGATCCGTGTTCCCGAAATCGTCGACGAAAATTTGTATCCGCACATACATACACACACATACATACATACATACATACACACACACATACACACACACACACACACACACACACATACATCCATTTTTTCTAAGGTATGCCAAAATGTTCAGAAACCTCTGAAACGTAAAGATATATAAAAATTTTCATTTTCGATTTTTTTGCGATTACTATAACTTGCCCTACGGGAAGTTAAAAAACAGTCACATCGTAAGCCATTTCAAGTCATTCTGAATCGTTTGAGCTATTATCTTAAAAATAGATGTATGCGACCTTTCGTGAAAGTTTTTGCAAAAACAGCTGAATCGATTTCAAAAATTTTAAAGATGTTACATCAAACTCGATAACAAGGAGTCTTGATTACATAATATTATAGAAGATTTAATTATGTACAAATTTGACCAACATTTCATTTATTTTAGGCGAACCGTTTCAAAGTTGCAAGAGATAATATAAATAAAAGTACTTTTAACGCTCTTGGACTAAAATACTATTTTTAAGTGTGAATTTAAAGTACACCGAGTAGCTGTAGGTCATCATATTATTAGACAATATTATACATAATGTAATTTTATGCAAATTTGCCAAATATTTAATTTATTTTGGACGAACTGTTTAAAAGTTACAAGGGATATAATAAATAAAAGTTTAGTCAAATCAGTAACAGTCCTAACAGAATAAATAGTATCTCCATCTAGTGTAATTGTTCTGGTTATACAAATATTCAATTATAATTAATAAAATAATCAATTGAATCAATAAATAAGTTATTAAATATGTTAAAAGTTAAAAATAAGTTAAAAGTGATTAAATAAATAATTTGAAATTACTTAGTCATACAAATATAAGGAGTCTTGATTGGGTTTGCAAAACAATCCGTCGAACAGTTTCTTTATAATTACCAGAAAAGAGCACAAGTTCATATGTTTCCGCCTAAACAAATAAATTTTATAAATTTAAATGGACAAAACGTTTAAATTTAAGAAATAATTATTTCCAAATCAGCAATTCACTGTATATTGGTTATTTTAATAATAACATTAAATGTATAATATAAAGTTGATATTTTGAAATCAGTTTCATGCAACGAATGCCCATGATCCCGACTATTTTATTTTCTTTAAGCAAACACAAAACTAATATATAATATGTATGTATATATACATAGTGATTTTAATGTTCTGAACCTCAGAAATTATATTTATTTAACGCAGTAGTAATCCGTAGAGCCGTTTCTTTGCAATTAGTTATTGCCTCATTAAAATTTAATGAGCCTGAAACATTGCAACCAAAGTAACAATTATATTTTAGGTAAGAGTGTAGTTTGTATTTTTTTCAAATTAAAATATTTCCTGCATAATTTTGAAGTAGTATATATATATATATATATATATATATATATATATATATATACTACTTCAAAATTATGCAGGAAATATTTTAATTTAAAAAAAATACAAACTACACTCTTACCTATATATATATATATGTATATAGTGTTAAAAAGACTATAGTTAGTTTGATAATGGAATTGTCATTCGTTCTAATAATAATAATGACAGACGTGTTCTAGATATCGAAAACTAATCGATATATATATATATATATATATATATATATATATATATATATATATATATATATATTGGTGTGCTCTTTAACCTTCACCTGAGAACATTTTATTGCCCCAGATAAATTAGGGAAAGGAATCAAATTAAATCTTCTTTTGACGTGATTGTTTTTTTTCTTGAAAAAATAACAAAAATAAGTAGTTTTGTATGTGATTAAGTTTGTTTTTTACTCATTAATAAACTTTTAGATTAATAAAATTATTTTAATTAAATACCCATAATCTCGCGCTTATATGTTGTCCTAAGTTTTTCATTTCATTTTTCTAATATTATTTTAATAACTCAAATATTTTGTTCAGGACACTCTTTTTAAATTAGCTTAGCAGAAACTAGATTATGCAATGCAAAATAAATGCATTCGGGACACTTTTGTACATTTTGCTAAATAACTCAAAAACTTTGTATTGGGCACTCTTTTATAGTTAGCTTAGTAGAAACTAGATAAAATTTACTTCAATTCCATATCAACAATCTTCTATACTTGCATATATCTTTTTTATGTTATCTGCATTTTCATCCTTTTTGTAATATGATGATTCACTTCATTAAATATGTGTCATCCTAAGATAAAATCAATTTAACACAGTTTCATTTTTTATTCAGTAAAATATAACAGTGGTTTTTCTCACACTGCATTATTCTTATTTTTATGATTATGATTATTATTATTTTATCTCGAGTTCTTTTCTTGAATGTGCAATTTCTAAAATCGCTGATACGGAACTAATGCGTTTTCGAGGTGAAATGTTACACCGGAGATAAATGCAACGGTAATGGTAATTGGATGTGGTTTTTAAGTATATCGAGTTGATGTAGGGCATAAAGGAGTTAGACAATATTATAAACGATTTAATTTTGTACAAATTTGCCAAATATTTTGTTTATTTTTGAAGAAAAGTTTAAAAGTTACAAGAGATATTATAAATAAAGAACTACATACACTATTTTTACTCGCACGTTGTTCCTACAGCAAGTAGGGCATTGCAATATTAGACAATATTTTCATTAAAAACTATGTTAAATAGTTTATAAAAGAAAATAGTAAATTTTATCTAGTTTCTGCTAAGCTAACATAAAAAAGTGTCTGAAAGAAAATTTTCGATTTATTAAAAAAATGTAAAAAAATGTCCCAAATCATTTTATAGCAAACTTTGCATAATTTAGAGTTCATATGAAATTAATTAAAAATTTTTGTATAACGCTATATTAAACAGTTTTTAGGAATATGTTGTATATTTCATCTAGTTCTTGGTAAGCTAACTAAAAAATAGTGTCTTCGACAAAGTTTTTGAGTTATTTAATAAAATGTAAAAAAATGTCCCGTAATCTTTTAAGGAAAACTTAGAACAATACTAAGGGCAAGTTCACATGTCATTTATTAAATTTTTTATATAAGACTATATAAAACTGATTACAAGGATATGTTACAAAATTTATCTAGTTTCTGCTAAGCTAACATAAAAACAGTTTTCTAAACAAAGTTTTTGAGTTATTCACAAAAAATTGAAAAAACGTCTTGAATCTTTGCATAACAAAGTTATAATCAGGATAAATTATAAGGGCGAGTTTCCATCGCAGTTTTTTCATAATTTTCTTATAAATCTATTATAAACTGTTTATAGGGAAATGTAGTAAATTTTATATGGTTTCTGCTAAGCTAACAAAAAAGAGTGTCCTGAACAAAGTTTTCGAGTTATTCAGAAAAATGTAAAATATGTCGTGGTAACTTAGTTAACTTATTATTAGAAAAATATATAAGGACAAGTTTACATGAGATTTATTCAAAATTTATATATAAGACTATATTAAACTATTCATGGAGATATGTTGTAAAATGTATCTAGTTTCTGCTAAGTTAACAAAAAAAGAATGTCTTCGACAAAGTTTTCAAGTTATTCAGAAAAATGCCAAAAAATGTCCCAAAAATGTAAAAAATAAATGCACTTGGATTCAATTTTTACATACATTTATAAACTAATCTTAAATTTTTCAGAAAGTTTCGACATAAAACTAAATGACATCATCAGTGGAACTAAAAAAAAAATTGATATAGATTTTAAAAAAGTATACAAAAATAGTGAAAACTATATTAAAATTAAAAATATATAGAAAATACATAGAAAAAATAAAACTCAAACTTTAAAAATATTCAATTAACAAAAACTAATACTATTTATATTATATTGTATATATTATTTATTTATTTATTATTATATATTTTTTATTTATTTTATTGTGTTTATTTTGTATAAATTTAACTTTTATTTAGATAGTTTTGTAAAAAAAATCATTTAAAAAACAATCAAAAATTTAACATTATTCTGTACTGAAAGAGCAACTTGCCTAAAGCCAATTCTAGAGCAACTTTTTACATGTGGGGTATCATTTCAAAGGTGTAATCGAGCACAATCTAAATATACTAGTTATTCTATTACACTTTTGTATTTTTGATAACTTTTTTCTATATATAAATAACATTTTACCAATTTTCTCATAATTTTTTAGCTTATATCAATTTGTAAATTTGCAGATGCACTGATGATGACATAAGAATAATTAGTTGGAACGTTTGAAATATTAAAAATAAGTCAACAAGTCTTTGTCTATATATTATTTAAGTATCGCCTTGAAAAAATCTCTTCGTATCTCAACACCAAAACTAACCTAACCTAACCATACATAGATAAATAAATATATATATATATATATATATATATACATATATACATATATATACATATATACATATATATATATATATATATATATATATATATATATATACATACTCTACAAGTCTTTGACCATATAATATTTAAGTATCGCCTTGAAAAAACCTCTTCGATTACCTCAACTCCAAAACTAACCTAACCTAACCATACATAGATAAATAAATAAATAAATAAATATATATATATACACGTATATATATATATATATATATATATACATATATACATATACACATTACAAACTAATCTACAACTCTATCTAAATATCACTCAAATATCATCTTAGAAAACCCTCTTCGTATAACTCAACACCAAAACTAACCTAACCTAACCATACACAGATAAATAAATAAATTTATTTCTACTTACTCATTTAATGCAACCATCTCGTTAAAGGTAACAGGTTGTGTCCTGAACCTATCGGCAGCCCTTCTTCTAGGAACAGCACCACCTGACCCATTTTCCAAACCACTGGAAGCTCCTCCGACTAACCTGGAGATTCTTTCAGCAATACTCTCAGTAACTGGTGTGGGAGACGATGAATTATTCCTGGATGTAGATGTCTCGTTGTCTAAGTTTTGATGGTTGTGGTTGTCGACAGCAATTAGAGGCTGAAAGTAAAAGTAGTAATAGATATATTAGGGTCTGAGTCGAATAACTTGAGATGGTAAATGACTTTGGTTCTTTTAATTAAAGTCTCCTTAGAACTTGATTGATAGAAATGAGTGGTTAAGGAAAAAATGTAAAAGGAGTGATAAATATGTAGGAGATTTATTATTCTATCTTTTACCCCTTGATCATCCGTCATGCTCCGTCTCTTCATCAAAATGCTCGCCAATTCAGAATCAGCAGCAGCAGCAGATTTTGTTCTCTGCAAATTTGTCGAACCACTTCCTCCAGTACTTCGTCTCTGGACAACTTCATTTAAAGCTGCAGCAAGATCCTGAGGCAGAGCAGCACCTTCAACAAATCCCCTTTTTGGAGAATCCCTCCTTGATGAGTTCCTGGACTTCAAAATAGGCTTCCTCGGTTTGTTGTACTCATCAGCCTCGTCACTTTCGGTGGACGACTTCTTTTTTAATATCGGACGTGGGGCTTCCAGATCTAAAGATGAGGCTGCTGCACTTTCTTCGCTTAGACTCTTTTTTTTCAAAATTGGTTTGACCGGGTCGAAGGATTGGTTGAGCTGGTACTGGAGACAACCTGAGAGAAAAGAGGTATATAAAATTCAAAAGTGGTTGGTGGTTTATTTTTTTCTTTACCTTCGGAGTAGGACAAGCCTCCTGAATGGTCACTGGCTTTTTTCAAAATTCCATGATGGGGTTCAGGCGAAGAATCCCTGGATTTGTCCCTGTGGTCTTCGGAGTGGCTTCGTCTTTTTAAAATTGGACGCATCACTCCGCAACAATCTTCTGTAGAAACACCACCTTTGAGAATACCTGGAAAAATTAAAAAAATAAAAATAAAATGTTAAAGTTTGTATTAAAATTGTTCGGAATAAAAAATATGTACTAGATTATTGCTTAATTGTTTTTTAAATTGAAAATGATTTTAAATAGCGTATGCACCAACTTTATTAATTATAAAATAGACATTTAGATATTTTGTAACTGTTGTTGTATTGTATTTGTACCCATTGTAACTAATAACATTATGTTTTTTTTTTAAATAATATGGTTAATATAAAATGCTTTTATTTATACCGTTTGCTCTCGCTTTATTATATATTATAATTTCGGAGAGTTTTTTTACATTTTTCTAAATAACTCAAAATTTTTGTCCAGGACACTCTTTTTTTAGTTAGTTTAGCAGAAACTAGATAAAATTTATTAAAATTCTATATATACTGTCTTATATACTTTGATACAATTTTTTTGATTAATTTGACTAGCCCTAATGTTTTTTGTATATTTCCAATATATGGTTTCGGGACATTTTTTTTACATTTTTCTAAATAACTGGAAAACTTGTTCCAATATACTCTTTTAAATTTAGTTTAGCAGCAACTAGATAAGATTTACTATATATCCCTATACATATTTTTTTTAATAAATCCAATGCGAATTCGCTCTTATATACTGCCCTAATATTTTATAAGCTTACCATATCAGGCCAGAATTCGGGATGTTTTTTAACAATTTTTTTTAATAACTCGAAAAGTTGGTCCAATACACTATTTTTCGGTAAGTTTAGCAGAAACTAGATAAGATACACTACATTTCTCTATAAACAGATTAATATAGTTATATATAAAAGTTTTATATAAATCCAATGCAAACTTGCATTTATATATTGTCCTTAGTTTTCATACAAGAATTCGGGACATTTTTTGAAATTTTTCGGAATGACAAAAAAAAATTTCATCGGGAACTCTTTTTTAGTTAACTTAGCAGAAAACAAATAAAATTTATAACAATTCCCTATACACAGTTTAATGCAGTCTTATATAAAAAAATTGAACAAATCCAATGCGAACTCGCTCTTATATTCTGCCTAAGTTTTCCATGCAAATTTCGGGACATTTTTATACATTTTACTGAATAACTCAAAAATTTTGTACCGGGTACTTTTTTTAGTAAGCCTAGCAGAAACTAGATAAAATTTATAACATCACCATATGAACAGTTTAATACAGTCTTATATAAGGTTGTCAAATATCTCCCTTCCGCCTTTTTGTATTATAAACCAAGAGCAAAAAAGCGGAAGGGAGATATTTGACAACCTAATATAAAGATTTTGAACAAATCGAATGTGAACTCGCCTTTATATATTGTCCAAATAAATTTTCCTAGTCCTAACAAGTTTTCCATACGAGGTACAAATTCGGTACAATTTTCTACATTTTTCCAAAAAACTTAGAAATTTTGTATCGGGTACTCTTTTTTATTTAGCTTAGCATACACTAGATAAAATTTACTACGAATCCATTAAAACAATCTTATATACTCCGATATAAAAAATTCAGTTTCATACAGTCTTATATAAAAATTTTCAATTAATCCTATGAAAACTCGCGTTTATATTTTGCTCTAAGTTTACCATATCAGGCCAAAATTCGGGACATTTTTTGGCAGTTTTTTGTATAACTCGAAAACTTGGTCCAATACTCTCTTTTTAACTTAGCTAAGCAAAAACTAGATAAAATTTACAACAATTTCCCATAGGCAGCTTAATATAGTCTTATATAAAAAATTTGAACAAATCCAATGCAAACTTGCCTCTATATGAAGTTTTGCTGATCCTAATCCTAAGAAGTTTTCCATAAAAGGATACGGGTCATTTTTTTAAATAACTTGAAATTTTTGTTCAGGACATTCTTTTTTAGTTAGCTTAGCAGAAACTAGATGAAATTTACTATAAATCCACTTAACAAAACATATAAATTATATTGCATTATATAAATCCAATGCAAACTCGCAGTTATATATTTTTCATCAAGACACCGATACACTCACAATCAAGTGAAGAAATTAAAAAGAGTGCCCTTAACTTTAAGGGCAAAATTGACCATCATTCAAACGAACTGATGGCAAGTCTTTACAACACCACATATAATATAATACAAACAAGAAAGCATTTAATAGATCTAACACTTTAATCAATAATAGGTTGCTCTATCATATTATCTATGATAGGTGTGTGCATATGTAGTCTGTGTAATGTACATTGTTTATAATTGTATGTATATATTTGAGTTTCTTTTTTTCTTTATTATACAATAATTTAATTGAGATATAATTTAGTACATTAATAAAAGGTGAACCACTGGGTTTTCCTTTTAAAATTTAATCTGTTATTTGTCAAACTAATTACTCAATGTCTTTCTATTTAGACATATTGTAATTTATAAGAAAATAAAAAAATAATAAATAAATAATTATTATTACCGTGAGGTGGTGAATCTCCAGCATAATCCTCAACAGTATAGTTAAAGTCTTCATCCTCGCTCCTGCTAGTTTTTCTCTTCAAAATGCCATGATGATGATGATGATGATGTCCTGAAGACCTGGCTGTGATATCCAAGGAACTCCGACGTCCTCTGGTTTCCGATTGTTGAATATTTGTGACTTCTTCCATCGATAAACGTTTTTTCAATATACCTTGTCGACTTGCATGTTGGGATTTCTCCGACTCTAAAACCACCTAAGAGAAAATGATATATGAAAACATATTATTTACACCACTAACTGTGTAAGTCTACTTAAGGGTTTATGGTCCAATTTATTGTATTTTAGTTGAACACATGCAATTCTAAATTTTCACCCTCCTACCACAAATACTTATTTCGTAATAATAATTTCAACTTTCGTAATAACAATTTTAATGTGTCAACTCATTTTTTATCTTGCTTTCAGTCAATGAATATTTTTTTCACTAAATTTTGATTAAAATTTACTTTGTACTCTGTACTTTATTTTGCTCGTCAGTAGAGTCCCTTTGTCACCTGTATTAATCTTTATACCCTAAATGTATAAATCAGTATCCAATTAATTCGGTACAACTTTGTTGCCGCCACTATAGTAAAGAACTCGCTTTGTAAAAACGGCGGAGGCAAAGTTGTACACCCAAAAAATTCATATAAAATTTAACAAAACTCGAGAACGGCTGAACCGATTTGGCTGATTTTAGTCTTGAAATATTAGCCATAGTACAAAGAAGTCTTGGCACACTAGAAAATATTTAAAAGTTGCTTGTCAGTATCCAATTAATTCGGCACAACTTTGCTGCCGCCACTTTTGTAAGGAACTCGCTTTGTAAAAACGGCGGAGGCAAAGTTGTACACGCAAAAAGTTCATAGAAATTTAATAACACTCGAAAACTTAATTTATCTACTAACTAGTTGTAAGTGGCCGTAGGGTAGTTATAGTAATGGGCTGAAAATCGCAAATGAACATTTTTGCATTTCTCGACGTTTTGAAGGTTTCTGAACATTTTACTGGCATACCTCAGAAACCAAATGGATGTGTGTGTGTGTGTGTGTTTTGTATGCCCGCATTTTTTCGTTCACGTTTTCGGGCGCACGGATCAACCGATTTGAATGGTTCATTCAACATTCGATCCCTATTGATAGGGAAATGTCCTGATTAGTTTTTGGCAAAGGCAGGTCCAGCCGTTACAGAGATACGGAGCAAAGAATGCAGAAAATAGAAATCGAGTTTTTGAGAGAACGGAGTATCGGATTTGAATGATCTAAAAAAACAATCGATTTGTAATGATTGGGAGAAGAGGTGATTAGTTTTTGGCAAAGACAGGTCCCGCCATTTCGAAGATACAGAGCTAAATGTTAAAAAAATGGCAGTTTTTGAGAGAACTAAGCGTCCGCTTTGAAGGATCTAAAAAACTTTCTGCTTGTTAACTTTCCGTAGGGCAAGTTATAGTAATCGCAAAAAAATCGAAAATATTTTTTTTTATATATCTTTACGTTTCAACGGTTTCTGAACATTTTGGCATACCTTAGAAAAAATGGATCTATTTGTGTGTGTGTGCGTGTGTGTGTGTGCGGATACAAATTTTCATCGACAATTTTGGGAACACGGATCAACCGATTTGAATAATTCAAGAAACATTCGATTCGTATTGATAAGAAGACGTGCTGATTAGTTTTTGGCAAAGGCAGGTCAAGCCGTTTCGGAGATACGGGACAAAAAGTGCCTAAAACGGTAACTCTGTTTTTAAGAGAACGGAGCGTCCGATTTTAATTATTTAAAAAACATTTTACTTGTTGACAAGATGAAGAATTGATCAAATTTTCATAAAGGCATGTCTAGCGGTTTCGGAGATCTAGTAAAAAAAAGTAAAAAATGCCATCTGGCGGTCAAAAATGATCATTAGACATATGCACATCAAATTATCAGATAAATTATAGAGATTTTAATAATGAGTATAAATTTTGTTTACATTCCTATGGGTTTCGTACCAATGTTTATCCGTTAGACGGCGGCGCTGCGCTTACGCGCTTCGATATTTCGTCTCAATGCGTTTAAAGCAGTACGATTGCTTTGAAAAAAATTCAGAATTTCCAAAATATGTCAAAATAAAGAAAACATTTTTTGTCAAATTTTTTTTTCAATAAAAAAGAATTTTTTTGTAAAATTTATAGTTTCTCAAAAATCTAATTTTTTCGAAGTAAAATTTATTCAAAAATGTTAATGGTTTTAAAAAAAATAATAATTTTTGATACGGGAAGTACCAGCAATTTGCCTTAAGGCACGATGCCATGCACCCCACTAGTATCGACAAAACAATTGCTTTTGAGGATAAAAAATTATTACATCTTTTTTTATTTTCCATAAAATATTTTTGTAATTTTGGATTAAAAATTGAAAAAATTACCCAGGCTAAGCACAGTCTAAGCGCCACTCTGGTACAGATGTTTACCCGAGTGCGTTTAGACTGTGACTGTACGGGAGCACTTTTCCAATTTTGTGAAAACTATTGAAAAATGTGAAAATGTCGCCAAGCTAAGCACAATATAAGTGAAAATGTCGCACAGAATTATTTGCAAATTCGTTTAGACTGTGACTATACGGGAGCACTTTTTGAATTTTGTGTAAATTCAACTATTTTTTTTTTAAAATTGAATTTGAAATGAAATGACGAGCGTTGATGTTCTGGAGATAAATTGATTTATGATTTACATTTGATTTGCTCAGATATAACAAGATGGCAAAAATCATTAACCTTACAGTATTTGTTATTAACGTTTGAAATTTCTCGAATATTTCATTACGGTACGGGAAGTTTCAGAAATTTGCCTTAAGGCACGATGCCATACACCATTAGTTCACTTTTATTATTCTATTCCACTTACTTCTGGTGAGAAAGTAACAGGCAACGTACAAGTACCACTCTTCCTCTTCAGAATAGAAATAGGTTTCTGTTCCTCAACCTCGCACATGGCAGCAACCTGACTTTTCCTCTCAACCGTAGTCTTTTTTTCACCACTTGTAACCTTAGAAGAAACCACTCTCCTGATCTTCAATTTTTCGACTTTCAGAAGGGCATCCTTCGTCCTCTGCGTGAGGACGTCTACTCGGTGGTTCTCCTGGTGATCATGACTGGTGGTGGATTTTGGAGTCGGTGATTGGTTTTCTGGTGGTGGTCGTTGGGTTATTGTAGGTCGATGGTGGTTTGGTTTGCAGAGACTGGCGCTTCTTTGTGGTGAACGGCGGTTGGTGGAGGAGCTGGTGGTTGTAGTGGTAGAAGAGCTGGTGGTGTTGTTGGTAGGGGCGAGAAGACGTCTCGAGCGGCTTCTGTTGCGGTCGTCGAAGTCTGTAAAAAATTATAAAAATTTGTTTTAAATACAGTTTTTTAGAAGCATTTTGAAAGTTTTTGATGATTTTTTTATTATTATATAATAGTTATTATTAACATGTTGATCACCATGGTATCAGATTTTTTTCTGACTTTTTGGTTACTTTATTAGATAATTTAATTAAAAATGTATTAAGAAAACTCGTGCACCAAAGAATTTTTTTTATCAAAATTTGCCACTGTTTTTCATGTCACTCATATATGACTGACATGGCCCTTCACTAATTATTTTATTATATTAAAACTTTTTTCCCAACAAGCAGTGCCTAGTATATGTGCCGTTCAGTGCACACATCGACTAACTCCGAAAGTCAGAAAGTGGAGAAAAGCGATAAAGTAATGTATATTGCTTTTAAAAATTCCTGTTATAATATAAATTGAAAAATATATTTTAGAACGTATAAATACATATATGGCTTACAACATGTAACGGTATATAAGATTTATAACTATTAATAGTGAGATAATAATTATCATTAAAGTTAAAGTTTTGATATGACTTGTAGAGTTAATCAAGTTTTCAACTCTTTTTAAACTTTAAACTTTTTTTTTTAATTCGGATCTACATTGTAGTCACACTTAAATTGTATACCGTTGGGTTTGGACCTTTCTATTCTAAATTCAGCGCATTTTAGGCAAATTTTCTGGACACCCTGTGATGGTTACTTTTCTGTTATTGATTTATTGTTCTAAATAAATAAAAAATATATAAAAAATCTTAGTGAAGGATTCGGCTTAGCTACAATGGCGCTTTTTTTCTTAAATGTTTTTATTATATTGTATCAACTATCTGGTAAAATTATGTCTCGATTTTTTTTCGCACGTGACTCAATAATGACAAAATCTTGAGTCAATAAATTAATAACTATTTTCACCGACCAGAAATTTATTTTTAATTAAGTTAGCTCTTATTTCCGTATTTTGAACAAGTTTCAATAAACTTCAGGCAGTTTTAATATTCTTGTTTTGCCGGGTACACGAATTTTAGTATGTTATTTTTTCAAAGTTTGTAACGTCTTTGATGTCTTTTATAAAACTAGATAAATTTTTTTCGAGACCCACAACACCCTACAGTTCTGTGTTCTTATTCGTAATTCATGAATTTGAAACCCGAAATCCAACATATACACTACAGAATGGAGTTAATCAAAATGTCTTCAGAAATAAATGACTTATGGATTCAGTGGTCAAAAAAAATTTCGTTTCACAGTGGCAATTTTTATTCTTTTGGAAAATTATTATAATCATAAAAAGTTATGATTATACCAAGTTCTTTCCCACTAATATCTCAGTTTTTTCAAAAAGTGGAGTTAGTCGATGTGTGCACTGAGCGGCTCATATATGACTGACTGACTATATATCAAAACTTTTTTCTCCTTCTACCAAATCGTGTGTGTTTGACTTGGCCCACATAGTAGTTTATAGTGTCAGACCCATATGGCTAACATGGTATATTTCAATTTTCTATCAAATCCTGTATTTCAGTCACAGATAAATAAAAGCGACTCTACTGACAAAAAAGTCGGAAAAGACTCTACAAACGAACAAAATGTAAAAAAGATCAAATGAGACTCTACTGACGATCAAACTAAAACAAGAGTACAAAAACTGAAACAATTGAGAAGATATTCTACTGACATGAGAACAAACTAATGAATGAGTAAGAAAACTAAAACAAGTAGAGAAGGGACTCTACTGACAAACAAACTAATAAAAGAGTACAACGACTAAAAGAAACTCTACTGACGACCAAAATGAAATAAAAAGTACAATGACTTAAACAAGTGAAAAGAAACTCTACTGCCGAAGAAAATATAAAAGAAATTGACAGAGACTCTTCGAACGCATAAAATAAAAAATAAAATCAAAAGGGACTCTACTGACGAACAAAATGTATAAAGGACTAGAAAGGACTCTACTGACAAGCAAAATGAAGAACTTATTCGGAGGGACCTTACTAACGAGCAAAATGTAAAAAATAAATAAAAAAGGACTGTGCTGTTATTCAAAGGGTAAAAATATTTGAAAGGACTTTACTGACGAACAAATGGAGACTAGACTGAAAGATAAAATAAATCCCAAGATCGTTATTTTATAAAAATTTCGAAAAAAATAAGAACAAAGGGACTCTACTGACGAGCAAAATAAAAATATTCAAAGGACTCTACTGAGAAGCAAAATGTAAAAAATATCGAAAGAAACTCCACTTACGAGCGATCTGATATAATATTAAAAAGAACTCTACTGACGAGCAAAATGTATTAAAGAACGAAAAGACTATTAACGAACAAAATGTAAGAAAAATCAAAAGGGACTCTAATGGCAAGCAAAATGTAAAAAAATCGAAAAGAAACTCTACTGACGAGCAAAATGTAAAAACGAAGGAAAGAAACTCTACTGAAGAGCAAAAGGTAAAAATATTCAAAAGGATTCTACTGACGAACAAAATGTAAAAAAAATTTAAAAGGACTCTACTGACGATCAAAGTGTTAAAAATAGAATGGAACTCTACTGACAACAAAATATAAAAAAATTAAAGAGATTCTACTGTCTAACAAAATCTAAGAAACGGCGAAAGGGACTCTACTGACGAGCAAAGGGTAAAAATATTCAAAAAAGACTCTACTGACGAGCGAAGGGTAAAAATATTCAAAAAGAGCTCTACTGACGAACAAAACGTAAAACAAATAAAAAGGACACTACTGACGAGCAAAACCTAAAAAAAAATAAAAAGGGGCTCTACTGACAAGCAACATGTCAAAAACATCAAAAGGGACTCTACTGACGAACAGAATGTATAAAAGACCAAAAAGGACTCTACTGACGAGCAGAGGGTAAAAACATTCAAAAGGACTATTAAAAATATTCAAAAATTTGCAAGGAAATCTACTAACGAGCAATTTTAAAACAAAATTTAAAAACATTTAAAGAAACTCTACTGACAATCAAAATGTATAAAAGACCAAAAGGAATTCTACTGACGAGTAAAGTGTAAATAATATTAAAAAGGACTCTACTGACGAACAAAATGTAAAAAAATGAAAGCGACTCTACTGACGAACAAAATGTAAAAGTGATCGAAAGGGACTCTACTGACGAGCAAAATGCAAAAAAAGATGAAATGGAACTATCGGAAGGGACTCTACTGACAGACAAACTAATAAATAAGTAAAAAAAAACTAAAACAAGTGAAAAGTGAACTATACTGATAAGCAAACTAAAAAAATTAGCATCACTGAAAAATGAAAAAGAGACTCTAATTACGAGCAAACTAAAAGAAGAGTAGAATAACCAAAACAAGTGAAAAAGGAATTAAACTTGTGAATATATTTGTTCTTTCTTTAAATAGAAACATGACACATAAATAGAAACGTGCATAATTGATAAATAAATCATTTATTGCTTTTTATTTCGACTATTTGGCTGCTAAAAACTTTTCAAAAAAAATTACTCCAAAAATACACACTGCACTTTCACCAACACTTAGCACATCCAAAACTATCTTCACAAAACGAAACCAAAAAACAACCACCTTTTATAATTTTTATCGCTGACTTTGTAAACACTCTTTCCAAATTTAAAAAATCACAAATAAAAATAAAAATTTTGGAAAAAAAAATCTGACTTGGACATGGACTAGTTTAATATCTGATTTTTACTCAACTATAGCTTTTACTTCTTCCTTTTTTGTAAACTTCTTACAAAATATAAATTTATATCTCGACCAGGATTCGACCCGAGTACAACCACCTTTTATAATTTTTATTGCTTACTTTGTAAACACTCTTTCCAAATGTGAACTCAAACGACGTAAAATTACTAATAAAAATAAAAATTTGGGAAAAAGAAAATCTGACTTAGTTTAATATTTGATTTATACCCAACTAATAGTGTTTATCCAAAATCGATTTCCGTTTATATCAATTTCTGCCTGCTTGGTAAACGTCTTACAAAATATAAATTTATATCTCGACCAGGATTCGACCCGAGTACAATCACCTTTGAGCAACCACTTGACCTAACTCCAACTTTTCTCTACACTCTGTCCAAATTTAGTCTCAAACGATTGAAAATAACAAGAAATTAGAATAAAAATAAAAAAACTGGACAAAAAAAATCTGACTTGGGAATGGGCTAGTTTAATATGAGAATTTTACCCCACTATAGTTTTTATCCACTATCGATGTACGTTATTTGTCAACTTCCTTCGTCATTCTTAAAGTTTGAAGTCTCTATCAATTTCTTACTCTACCAGGGTTCGAACCGAGTACCACAACCACCATTAATCAATCTAACCTAATGTATCTATCTTTGTTTATTGTTTTATTTTAAGTCAATATCAATTAATACAACATTTGTCAACACCTTTGAACCTAAATTGTTAGTTGTTGGTTTTGTAAACTAGTCTACATTTGGCCACTTACAATTAAGCACAATTTTTCATATCGAGTCTAAATAAATTAATACTCGACTGGGATTCGATCCGAGTACCACAACCATATTAATCAATCTAACCTAATGTATCTACATTTCTTTATTGTTCTATTTTAAGTCAATATCAATTAATAAAACATTTGTCAACACTTTTGAACCTAAATTTTTAGTTGTTGGCTTCGTAAACTAGTACATTTGGCCACTTACAATTAAGCACAATTTTTCATATCGAGTCTCTATAAATTAATACTCGACCGGGATTCGATCCGAGTACCACAACCACCTTTTTAATCAATCAACCACTTGACAACAACTATTCTCTACCGTTCTTTGTTAGTTAAGTATGAAGTCTCTATCAATTTACTACTCGATCGGGATTCGATCCGAGTACCACAACCACCTTTAACCAACCACTTGACCACAACTATTCTGTACCTTTCTTTGTTAGTTAAGTTTGAAGTCTATCAATTTCTTACTCTACCAGGGTTCGATCCGAGTACCACAACCACTTTTAACCAACCAACCACTTTATCGACCACATCTATTCTCTACCTTTTTTGGTAGTTAAGTGTGAAGTCTGTATCAATTTATCACTCGGCCAGGATTCGATCCGAGTACCACTAGCAACCACTTGACCAATAATCCTCGACTCTCGTCAACTATTTCTACCAAACTGAAGAGAGAGACGTCATCGTACTATGGCAAAGAGCATCATTTTGTTTCCAACTATTTGTATATATTTATATTTAAACTCGGTCGGTAGTCGGGAGAGGATGCACACGATACATACTTGTGTGTATCTTGTGTCTTGTCTTAAAATAATAACAAGAAAAGGCACAACAGGCATTCATACGATACGATTCATGGGAAGAGTTTGTGGTGTATTGGTGAGATGTAGAAACATCTAGGCGAAATTACGATAGACTAGTCAGAAGTGGCATCGAGCCTAAAGGCAAGTGCATGCATCCTAAAATGTGTAATTGACTTATTCAATCGAAATTGAGATTTAGATATTTAGACAAAATTAGATATATCATGTACGTAGTCCTTTTATGATTTAAATTAATGGTAACATTTTTTACCCAACTAGAAGTTTTGTACGCATACTTTTCCATAGATTCCAAAAAAATGTCTTTTAAATTTGTTATATTCAAATTTTGACAAATCTCATCACAAAAGCGACTTTTGACATAAATTTTGACAATCATCTTTGTTCAAACTTTGAAGAATTTTTAAAATTAAACTACTTGCCGTAGGACTTTGATGAATTTTAGTATGTTGAGAATTCGGTTCAGACGTTTTTGAGAAAACGTCCATTTAATGTAAAAAATTTGATCACATACGCACTCACACTTACTTTATCCAGTATAAAATCAAGTTAAAAATAATAATATTCTAGATCCTCCCCCCACGAAGTAATGTCTGATAGCGGTTTCCATGACAAGAGATTTTAAGTCGATTTATACCCAGGCGATATTGAGTCCGACATACCCAGACCAAAGACCTAGTCTGGAATGCATAAAGGCATTTCCTTTGCTATACAAAAAAAAACATACTTTTTCCAAATTTGGTCCAAAACGATTAAGAATGACTTGAACCGCCGAAAAAATATAAATTTAGCAAACCGGATTTTTCGATAAAATCATAAACTTTTTCTTCAGGAAGTTAATAAATCAGTATTTATTTATTTTTATTTATTTTTGATAATTAATGGTGATAAAAAAATAAACTATGAAGAATTTATAACTAAATAAATATTTAAAAAAATACATTAATAAATAACAATGAATGAATAAATATGTAAGTAACAAATGAGTAAATGAATAAATAACTAATAAAATAAACAAGAAAATAAATAAAAGCATAACTATATAAATAACTAAATAAATATATAAATTAGTAAAAAGATAAATAAATAAATAAACGTGTAAGTAAATAAATAACTAAATAACAAAAGAATTGTTTAAATAAATACATATATTAATTAAATAATTGAATAAATGATAAAACAAGTAAAAAAAAATGATAAAATAGATAAGTAAATGAAACAAACAAAAATGATAAAGTAAATAAGTACATAATTAAAATAAATTAATGAAACAATTAAAAAAGCAAATAAATAAATAAATAAGCTTATAAATAAACAAACAAATAATAATATTAATTGAATGAATAAATAGATGTATAGATAAGAAAATGAATAAATAAATCAAATAAGAAATAAATTAATGGCATAACTAAGTAAATATATAAAAATAAATAAATAAATAAGAAAATAAATATTACAAATGAATACATAAATAAATGAAAAAATAAATAAGCAAATTAATAAATGATTTAATAAATAAACGAATAAATAACCAAATTAGTATAAATGATTAAATAAAAAAGTGAATAATTTTTATAAAAAAAGGCTAAAAGGTTGAAAAAATATTTTGTTCAATAAATAAAAAATAAATTAATAAAGTACTAAATAAATAAGTACATAAATAAATAAACAAATGAATATATAAGTTAGTAAATAAGTAACTAAATAAATAAATAAGTAAAAAATATAGAGTCAAAAAAATAAGTAAGTAAAAAAATGAACGTAAGAAATATAAATTGGCAAATAAATAAATAAAAAATGCAGGTAAGTATATAAATAGGTAAAAAATTGAATAATTAACAAGTAAACGAATAAATCAAGTAAAAATATCGATAGATAAATAAATAAATCAGCAAGGAAATAAAAAAGTAAATAATTAACTAGACAATAATATATAAGGAAATAAATAAATAAATAACAAATTAAATAAACAAAAAACTAAACAAGTAAATTTTATAAATAAATAAATAAATGAATTATAAATAAATAGATCAATCAATAAATAAATAAATAAAAAAATCAATAAAAAATAGCAGATGATAAAATAGATAAGCAAATAAATAAGCGAGTAAAAAAATGATTTAGTACATAAATGAAGAATTGATAAAATAAATAAAAAATTAAGTTAAATAAATAAATAAATAAACGAATAAATGAGTGCATATATAAATAAACAAACAAACATGAATAAATAAGTAAATGAGAAAATAAATAAATAAATAAGAAATTAAAAAAGAAATTATTAAACAAATAAATAAATGAGTAAAAAAATAAAAAACAAATGAAGAATATAAATAAACAAATGAATAGAGAAATATTTAACTACATAAATTAATGCATAAAAACTAAATAAATAAATAGATGATTGAAAAAATTAAAAAAATTGTTTAAAAATAAATAAATAAATATTTACCTTCGACTGCAATATTTGGCGTCATATTGAAAGAGTTCTTTCTTTTGCTGCTTTTATCCTTTCTGCCTAAATGATCCTAAAATTAAAAAAAAACTAAATTATTATACATAACTATAATTATTTACACTACTTATCATACTACAAATAATAATTATTAATTGAATACTAATGATAAAAATATATCTGTGAATTTTCGTTACTCTGTTTCCTCTGGATCTCTTACTATAACTATTTGGAACAATAAATAAAAATTGGTTAAAATATTGTACATTAATTAATAATTACGAACTCATGAACAAGTATTTTATCTACAAAGTTATGCATAATAATTCCTCTACAATTATTTATAAACAATAGATTAAAATTAAAATGATTTATTATATTTATAAACAATAATTGAATTATCAAGGTTATAATTATCCCTTCGGCTCCCGCGTATAAAATTATTATACCTAAACAATGGATAATTTTAATAACAACATTAACAACATTTAATTTGTTGTTAATTCTGCAACAAACTTTCACTCGACGAGAATTATAAATGAACAAACAAACGAAGAAATTAAAACTATTAAAATGAAATTACAGAAAACTTGATAACGAAATAATAGTCTAAATTAAAATGGAATTGTAGAAAACCTGACAAAATAATAGCCTTATCAAATTACCCAGGGCAGGTGGCGAGAATGTTGATGTTTTGCAATTTGTGGTAGTTAATAAAATAAAAAGTTGTCAAATCAGTTTCGATCGTAATTTGTGCGAAATCGAAACAGACTTGTCCCACATTTTCAAAACCTGTTTTAAATCATTTTGACCTGATTTGAATGTGCGATATTGATAATAATAAATAAATACGAGAAATAGGACTCTACTGACGAACAAACTTAATCAAGACTTGTAGAATAAACCTAGATTTTGTACACACTTAGAGTCTTTTGAAAGTATAGAAAAAACTCTACTGACGAGCAAACCGAGTATGATAATTTACAAAATAAAATTGATCAAATTGATCAAATTTTGGGCGCACAACAATAAAAAAGGACTCTACTGACGAGTTCTACAAAAGAAAAGAGACTATACTGACGAGCAAACCGAGTCTCAAATCGTCGAAATTAATCAAGATTTTGTACAAACTCCAAAAAAAGAAAAAGGGACTCTACTGACGAGCAAAAATTGAACAAGACTTTGTAAAAAAAGATAAAAACGACTCGACTGACAAGCAGACCGAGCCTCGATTTTCAGAAGAAATCGATAAAATTGAGAGAGACTTTGCACGGACTTCAAAAAAATAAAAAGGGACTCTACTGATGAGGAAACCAAGAGTCAACTTTCAGAAAAAAATGATAAAAATGATCAATACTTTGTATCGACTCTAATAAAGAAAAAGGGACTCTATTGACGAGCAAACCGAATCTTAATTTGCAAAAGAAATCGATAAAATTGTATAAGACTTTGTAAGATCTTTAAGAAAAAAAGGACACTACTGACGAGCAAACCGAGTCTCGACTTTCACAAAAAATCGATCAATTTTTTAAAAAAAAACTTTGTACTGACGAGCAAACCGAGTCTTAAGTTTCAGAAGAAATTGACGAAATTGATCAAGGCTTTGTACAAACTCCAAAAAAAATAAAAAGGCCCCACTGACGAGCTAAGACTTTCATAAAAATCGATAAAATCGAGCAAGACTTTGTGAGAACTTCAAAAAATGAAAAAAGAACTCTACTGACGAGTAAACCGAGTTGAGATTTTTATAAAAAAATTATAAATTCAAGCAAGGCTTTGTGAGAACTGCAAGAAAGATAAAAGGACTCTTCTAGGCAAAACCTAGTCGTGTAATATTTTAAGAAATCTATGAATTTTGGCAAAACTTTGTAATGGCTCTAAGAAAAAAAGGATTCTACTAACGAGCAAATATAGTCCAGTAGCAATTTCAGAAAAAATCGATAAAATAAGTAAAATAAAACACTACTGACAAGCAAACTGAGTTTTAATTTGCAAAAGAAATCGATAAAATTGAGTAAAACTTTGGACGGACTCCAAAAAAATAAAAGGGACTCTACTGACGAGCAAACCGAGTTTAAGTTTCAGATAAAAACTATAAAATTGTGCAAGACTTTGTATGGATTCCAAAAAAAGAAAAAGGGACTCTACTGACGAGCAAACTGAGTCTCGACTTTCAGAAGAAATCTATAAAATTGAGTAAAACTGTGGACGGACTCCAAAAAAAGAAAAGGGACTCTACTGATGAACAGACCGAGTCTCGACTTTCAGACTCCAAAAAAAGAAAAGTCTCGACTTTCAGAAAAAAATCGATAAATCTTAGCAAGACTTTCGTAAGGGCTCTAAGAAACAAAAAGAACTTTACTGATAAAAAATCGATAGAATTGAGCTCAAAGACCTAAAACCGATTCTAAAACTGTAAAAAAAACTCTACTGACAAGCAACCCGACTTACAACTTCCAGAATAAATGGATAAAATCGCAAAAAAAATTCTTAATCAGTTTGCTCGTTAGTAGAGTTCTTTCCTCTTCTTTCATTTGAAAAGCAAGAGATTTTCTTACTCGATTTGCTCGTCAGTAGAGTTCTTTTTCTGACACTTGAGTAGCAAGGAATTTTTCCTACTTAGTTCGCTGGTCAGTAGAGTCCTTTTTTAGAAATACTTGCTTGTCAGTAGAGTCCTTTTTTATCCTACTAAAAGGCAAAGACAAAATTTACACCTCAGTAGGGTTTTTTTCCTTAAACTAAATTTCTGGTTGCTGGTCAGTAGAGTGTTTTTTTGGAAACAATTGCTTTGTCAGTAGAGTTCCTTTTTATGGCACTCATGTAAAGACTAAAATCTGCATTTCAATAGAGAGATTTTTAACCTTCTTTCCAAATTTCAAAAAGTACATTACGGAGAAATCGATTATAAACAAACAAGTACGATTGTTTTAATATAAATATATTTTAAATTTTTTTCTAGGACGCCGACACATTTAAAAAATAATAATTTCGTCCATAATTTATTTAAAATTTAAAGTTTAAAGTGGAATTCATGTCGGAGAGAAAACAAACACGAGACATTAATTTAATTTAATTATCTTGTTTTTACGAACTAGTTTTTTGTTCAAATTGAAATTAATTACTCTCACAGAGACGAAGAAAGTTTCGACGAACCATTTCTATTTTTCCAAAAATGATAAAAAGACTCAAATTTTAATTTTCATCATATATATATATATATATATATATATATATATATATATATATATATATATAAGTATATAAAAGTAATAAAATTGCAACTAGTGTTTTACACAACTTTCTAAATCCCGTATTACAACAATTATTATTATTATTGAAATCGATTTCATTGTCTTCGTACAACAATAATTAACAACTTATCGATTTGGAAAACGAAAGCGAACATAAAATCTTTAGCAAAAAAAAATAACATTGGTTATAATAGACGTAGAGCCAACGACCGATATAAAATAATTCCTGAAGGTAAAAATATTTCTTTGTTATTTTGAAGCTCAACAATTAATAAATAATGTCAACAGTTATCAACAGTATTAAATATAAAAATATTAAAAAAAAAGATTAAAAGCAATCAAGAAAAAATCATAAGATATCAATAAAAATGATCAATTATCACCAAGAATTATCAAGAAACTTATAATATTAGTTCAAGAAATAACCAATCAATGAATAACCAAGTATCATCGACAATTTTCAAGAAAAATAAAAAATTGACAAGAATTATCAATAGTTATTGAGAATACTCAAGCAACAAGAATCTTCAATCAGCATTAGTCTACATCTACTCTATCTGATCCACTTGCATTTTTATTTAATCTATCTTTGCGTACAAACACTTTTCCAAATTGTTGGAAAATTGCACGATTAGTTCCAACTTTTAAACAAGGTGTTACATCAAACATTACTAATTACAGGCCGATATCATTATTATCAAACTTTGCTAAGGTATTTGAAAAAATTATTTATAGAGAACTAATTCCTTCTGTTAGAACTTTAATTTCTATTAATCAACATGGTTTCATGCCTGCCCGTTCAACGATAACAAATTTAATTTGTATTAAACAATATATAGCTGAGAATCTTGACATCAATGGACAAGTTGACGTTATTTACACTGATTTCAGTAAAGCTTTTGACAAAATTGATCATAACATTCTCCTTACTAAATTATCTAAGATTGGTCTTAATTCTTCACTTATTCACTTTTTCAAAAGTTATCTTCATAATCGCAAGCAGTTTGTCTTTCTTAATGGATTCTTGAGCAACATTGAAAATATTAGTTCAGGAGTTCCTCAGGGATCCATTCTTGGTCCACTATTATTTATTATTTTTATTAATGACATTTCTGATACTATTAACTGTCCACATTTATTATTTGCAGATGATCTGAAACTATATCTCAAAATAAATTCTATTGATGACTGCTTATTATTACAGTCTCAACTTGACCTTTTCCAATCTTGGTGTATCTATAACAAATTACATCTAAATATATCAAAGTGCAAGATTCTTAGTTTTACACATAAGCGCGTTCCAATACTTTTTGATTATAAAATTTCTAACACCAGCATTGATAGATGTAATAAAATTTCCGATTTAGGTGTTCTATTTGATTCTGGTTTGTTTTTCACAGATCATGTTACTGATATTTGCAATAGAGCACATCAATCTTTAGGTTTGATACTAAGAAATTGTAAACAATTTAAGTCTACCAATGCACTTCTTTGCATGTACTATTCTATTGTACGTTCTAAATTAGAATACGGTTCGATTATTTGGTATCCTCATCATATCAACAACTCTGATGCGATAGAGAAGGTTCAGCGAAAATTTCTGAAATACCTTTATTATAAAACATATAAAATTTACCCTGAACGTGGCTTTGACCACAACACTTTACTAAAAGAATTTGTTATTCCTTCTCTTGCCTCACGTCGATTTATCTGTACAATTATGTTCTTATTTAAGCTTTGCAATAATTCTATAGACTGTCCTCTTATTCTCAATCAACTATCCTTTAATGTTCCAAGGCTATCTTCGCGTTCACAATTATTT